GTTGCCTGTCAGACTGTGTTCGGACGTGTAGTACCGCCATGGATGACCACCGGTTACACACGGCGACGGCCGCCGTCCAGCAGCTGCTCTACAGGCAGTTCTGCGACGTGTATCTGGTGAGGGGCTAGCACCAGTCCGTGGAAAAGAGTTGTTCGTAGGGAAATATGAGGCAGGGGGATGATAGAAGCAGATTCATAATCAAATGGGAAAAGTTTTATCACTGGATGCCTAGCAAAGATACTATAGACGCACCCCTAAACCCCATATTTAGGCAACATTTTATGGTCATGTAAATTGCTATTTCAATCTGTCGTGATCATTTCGTTGCCGATATTTTCTTAGCCTTCTTTCGCAATGCCCGCTGTCCGTACGACGCACCATCAAGTTCAGAACGCCTCTGTCGTCTGTCGATCTCGTTCATCTCACTGACTCCCCCCTCCCCTCCCCGCCCGCCCTCGACAGGAGGCCGTGAAGCCGGTGCTGAACTCAAATGACGTTGCAGCCCGCCAGCGCTGCTGTGACGTCATGGTCTGTGTGCTGGACGCCGGCCTGCGCTTGCTCCACCCGTTCATGCCGCACCTGACCGAGGAGTTGGGGGAGAGGCTGACGGAACACTCGCAGGAGTCGGGACTGCTGCTGCGGCGGCCCTACCCTCGGCCAGAGCAGGTGGGTACCCAGCGGTAGTTCGACATTCGGATGCTTAGTGAATGTTGCCAACAACAAGAACACATACCAAACCAAACATCCATTGATAATTGGATGTTTGGTTTGGTATGTGTTCTTTGTTAGAATCCATACGCACTGATGTATACGCACTGATGTTCTGCTCTTGGTATTGTCAGAAAACACTGGTGATCGAACTTTCGGCATGAGTTGTCGGAATTCCTAAAAACTGGTGATCGGACGTTCGCCATGTGTTGTGCCTCAGAATACACGCTTATGTCCTCACATTTGGTACCTATCTTTGTTTCAGTACGATCACTGGCGTGACGAAGCTCTGGAGTCGTCGTTCACCACCTGTCTGGACGCCGTGAGGGAACTGAGAGCTATGAAAACCAAGTACAGGATCGGCAAAACGACCCCAGAAGGTACAACGGAGAGACTTTGGGTCGGGTTGTTAGTTGTTACTCATCGATGGCCCTAAACACGTTCTAAAAGAACTTATAATGGAGAGCTGGTTGGTGTCTTGAACTTGATTACTTTACCGCTTTTCGTCCCATACACACCCAACATGCCCTGCTGTACCCTATCCCTCCGTACACAATACCAGCTGCCCTACCCGCCCCTCCTCCTTACCCAATCTGCCACCTAACCTGTAACCCCTTCCCCACTCTTCTCAGTGTTCCTGACCACGGAGCCGGCACTGTGTGACCATCTGGCGGCAGTCGTCTCCACGCTGGCCCGCTGTCGGGTGCACGCCGCCCAGCCGAGGGAGGAGGCGGACCGGCGCCTACTGCCCCTGCAGGGACACCAGTGGAGGGCGCTGGTCGATCTGCAGGTGAGGACTGGGGCGCTGGTGGTAGACTGAGAGTTGGGCGCTGGTGGACTGAGAAATGGGCGCTGGTGGGCTGGCGGGAGGGTGTTCTTATAGATGAAGTGTGGAAGGCGCTGTTTGGCTGGGGGAGGAGAGCTCCTGCAAACAGTGTTCTAAAATTGGATTTCAATTGGGTGTCCCAACAAAGAAAAAATCCGAAGACAAAAGGAGATACATTTAGTCTTTCCGCAAAACTGCATAATACCATTTTTACCTCAGATTTTGTCAGAACCTTCACAGGATCTGAAATGAAATGATGTAGAGTAGATGCATCAACTGTCAAGTCATGCGTAACCTGGCAGCTGGCTGTTGAATCAAACTTTTAACATATTTCTTTAACAAATAAAGCCACTTATATTTTTAGGATGAAAATATTTTCCCCATCATGTGTGATTATTCACCTAAAATTCTGAAACATGGAACACTGCCTGCAAAGAGCATGTGAGCCGCGCATTAGCACCACGAGTGAGAATTGGCGTCTCTATAACCATATAGTGAATATGGCTGGAAAAAAAATAACCTCATTCGTTGTGAAGATTCGTGAATAAATTGCTTCACAGACTGAGGTGCAATATTTCAAAATGTTATTCGTTGAACTGAACCTTTATGCTTGTAAATGCATGTGTATGAACTATGAAGGAATGTTCAGCGACCCACTTCTGTTTCTTAGGATCACGTGAACATACCTGCCGAACTGGAGCTACTGCGGACCAAAATGGAGAAGGTGCGGGCGAAAATGGCCACGTCCGACGCGCTGATGCAGACTAACAAGTTCCGCCGCCGGCCGGTCAGGATGCAGCAACAGGAGAGGGAGAGGGTGAGTCATGGAGAGGGAAGAGGGTGTCAGGTCCTTTGGGTCACACATTCTGAAGGAAGGGAGGGATTCGTTGATTGCTCCGCGACAGTTCCTGAATAGAGTTGTCTTTGGATGTTGGGCTGTCCTTTTTTGCGCTTATTTTCCTTCTAGTTTCGTGACAAGTGGATAGATGTTTGGAAGGAACCCCATGACACAACCTCCTGGCATCCATGTCATTTAATTTGTGTTTCATTTGGCCGAAAGCATATAAACCGTCATGAGTTCATCATCATCGGAGATACACGATGCCGCCCATCAATAACGATGGAGTTGAAAACTATTCTGATCACCTATTCGTCAAGCTCAACCTCATGTCCGTGTTACTTTTAGTTGAAATGAGTATTTCCCGTTTTATTTTCAGAGAGTGATGTGGGAAGAGGAGCTGGCTCGTTTGAAGGAGTCCGAAGACGATCTCAGGCGTCTTAGTTGATAAATGTGTTTGCAATGCATATGACCATCATATTTACTCTACGCTAGTCAGTAGTCACAGGCGTTGTGTTAAATTGTTAGCCTCATTCTTACCATGTATTTTAGTCTGTGAATGATTGACGTATGTTTATAAATATACCGTCAAAGTGGAGCGAACCTTTTTGATTTGTGGCTATTTGAGAAAACGTCTTTCTCTGGCGAACTTTATCTGATGGCCTTTACTGTACTGTTACTTTTGTACAATGTACAATGTACTTTGTACAATGTACAGCACGGTACAACGTCGACTGCCCCATGTTATGTTGCAGTCGGCCTAATTCATTTTGCTCTGCCAGTGGGTAATTTATGGAATGGCTGGAAGTGCTCTTAGTTGAAAATCCCGAGTAACTAGCACGAGCCAGGCCGAAAAATATTAGACTGAGTTTTTCAGGTGCCTTGATACCTTCAAAATTTGACAGTGTCCATTTCTTCAAAATTTTAGTTTACGGCTTTAATTACAATATTTCGATAATCAATTACTAAATTTTCGTGAAATATGCCGCCCCGCAAAGAAGACGGAAAATTGAGCCCTCTGATAACTCCGGACCCGCACTATATTCCAGGGTAAGTGTCAGCAATGTTTTGTATATGTAGAGTGAACTGTATTGAAAGTTCATGACAGCCTCAATGAAACTACAATGGAGGCTGTCATTTTGTATTTAAGTAATTCCGTATGCGAATACCTGAAGCGCAATGTGTAAGCCCTTCAATCATTTTTGTACCTTCGTTGTCTTATACGAGATGTGTCTTTCAGGTATCAGGGTCATGTGCCCGGGTTTACCTTCCACTTCGGCGATACGTTCGGGCACACATCAAACAAATTGCTCACCGATCCATGCATACCGGGCTCGGGAAATTTGGTTCAGCCTCTCAACTTCAATGTCGGCCGAAAAGACGTAAGTACCGAATGGTTTGCTCGAATGTAAAAATATCCTTCCTGTCAATTCATTGATTATAATCCATTGATTAGAACATACCGTTAAGAAAAATATCATTGTACATTCATGGATAATACTCGGTTAGTTAGAACCGTATTAAAATCGCCTTTGCACATAAGGGGGGTATCCTTGACGAGTGTTTCTATGACCGTCAATATTGTAATGGATATTTGTCATTGGATGTTTATTTTTGGCCCCATTTATCTTAAACTTTGCGTTTCTGATTTCGGCAGCCGGAGATCGGCCCTCTGGTGCGCTCCTCCGGCTGCAACTACCCGCGCCTCACCACCAACATGGTACCCGGCTACTCGGGCCGCATCCCCGCCTACGACAACGTGTTCGGCCTGAGCTACGCGCGCGGCACCGAGCAGGCCGTGCGCGACTTCGAGACCAACCAGTCGCAGGCGCGCCAGCAACGGCAGCTCACCAACTCACTGGCCGCCATGAACACGTGCAACGGCGGCCGGTCGGGCTTCAACGCCAACTGTCCGGTGCCGCTGTGGAGCCGCAACAACCAGGGCTTCCGCTCGGCCGGCGGAGGCTCCTACTCCGGTCCGTACGACCGCCAGGCTCCGTTCCAGTTTGTCGAATCGCCGTACTTTATGGGCAATGACGACCCCCGCAAGTATTTCATGTCGGGGTATACTGGGTTTGTGCCCAACACGCAGCCGGTGATCGGAAACGTGTTCCCCATCACCACCAACCGCGGTCTGAGGAAGTTCACCGACGAACAGTGCAGGGTGCGGCACAACTTCTGCAAGCCGGTGGTGGTGAGCACCAAGAGCCGCGACTATGACCCGCCCGACAACCAGATGAGGGATTGCACGCGGGAGCCGATTCGCACCATGGACATACCGGACATTGGCAAGGAGTTCGACCCGTCGCTGATGGTGGGCTGCGGCCCCCACGCGCTCAATCAGCACGATCCCAACGAGGACTTCACGCTGAACCGCGCCCGGGTGTCGCCGGCTATCATGAACCAAGTGCCCGCGCTCGGCCAGGACAGGCTTCGTCGTAAAATGCAGATGTTCAAGCGGAAGGACCCACACCCGATCTATCGCGTTCAGGAGGGCCTGCTGCCGACGTATGGCGGCCATGTTCCAAACCAGCAGTTCCGATTCGGAGGAACGTTCGGCAAAGAAACGGTCAACGCCAGAAGCCTCAACGCCATGGTTGTCCGTAAGGAGTGATCAAACCGTCCAGCTTTCATGCGAATTTTATTCTGCTTTATCACGAACAGCCACCGATTCTCATAATCCGCTACTTCCTTGCTGACAAAATCACAGTTGTCCCTGCCAACATGCATGGTGATAAACATTGCGCCTGACAAGAGACGACATTAAGTCTTGTATAATTTTTTTACGTATTTACAGATGATACTGAAAAAAATAATACACTTCATCTCTCTCGAAGTTATAACGAAAAACAGAACATCACAGAAAACAGTGTTTGCAAACAATGCCAGGGACTCGACTTTGTAATAAAAACGTACCCAGCCCAAATTATAGAGCCAGAGACAACAATGTGTTAACATTGGACTAACGATCCAGCAACCGATGACTGGTGCTACACTGTTCTGCCAGTGAAGGCACAAAAGCACCGTTTCTACCCCACTATAGGGCAGAACTGAACGTAATATGGGCTCGTGCCCCGGCACAGAAATGACGAACGAAAGACAACATATAGGTCATCCTGTGTTGCGCAGATCATCAACCGAGGTGAAGGGATAATATGCGTTCGTCATCTTCTAGAGGACCAAACCATCTCCACAAGCTACACATCCGTGTCAGTTGGCTGACAGTATGGCAAGGCCGCCCCTCTAACGATGGCAGCGTCAAGCCTGGGCAGTACCTGCGATCCCGCGATGGGTCCACTCAAGGCCGTGTAAGTAGGGTTCACTATTCCATCGATTTCTTCAGCTCTTTCAGAATAGACTCTGCCTTCTCTAGGTTTTTGTCGTCCTGGAAAGGAAGCACGGATTATTGAGATTTGTTACGTCATCCCCTAAGCCAAAACTCTGATCTATCACTAACGACAAGCCAGGACGGCGGAGCTTTTCTATGGAACTGTAGTGTAAAATATTTACCATATGAACATGATGCATAAAAATTACCGGGAACTGAGCTGATGGTGTTGCAAAATTGAAACATGTTATCTAGCCGCAGGAGCCGCGACACTGAGCCCCCTCCTGCATCGTGGCGTGATATCAGCCATAGCTGGCGGAGTGCGGACCCACCTTGATGAAGCAGAAGCGGATGTAGTGTTCGGCCAGCTTCTTGTGCTCTGCCGAGTAGAAGGACGACGGCGGGATGCCCTGCAGCTTGTGGTGGTGCACCAGCCAGTACACGAACCGGTGGTCGTCCGGCTTACCGGGCGTGTACGGACTCAGGTCGATCTTGCTCTTATCTGCGGAGGAACGCAGGGGCAAACATCAAAGGGCTGGCAGACTGCAGAGGACTCGGATGGACATAATCAGGGAATGTTCATCATAACTAACATGAGCGCTGAAAACGGGGTAGGAACTCGCCGGGATATCTTGTAGCTCCTCACTGGGAAACAATCCCAAATAACGAGCTTAGCCCTCCATTTCCTTTCGTAGAATGTAGAGGGTACAATTAGCCCGAGAGAAGGCAAGTATCCTAGTGACAAGGGAGCCACAGGTAGGCTAGCAAGTAGGGGATCTACCATTCAACAGTATCATTTGACTCAATAACCCCACATATCTCAGCCTAAACAAATCACCCCTCCACGGTCACTGACCGAGTGACGTCCAGTCGGCCACCATGAAGTATCCTCCCTCGGGGATAACTGGCTTCATGCCGCAGTCGGTCAGGAACTGGGCCATGTAGTCGCGCTTGGGCCGCAGCTCGTCATTGGCCAGAGAGGTGAAGTAGCACTCTGGCGAGCCCATCAGCGACATCTCGTGCTCGAACGAGCGCGCCAGCGCCTCCTGAGGGTGGTCAGGACCAAGGGACGTCAGAGTACAATCAGAATTCAGAGTACAATCAGTTTTCATGGTGGTAAGTAACTTCATGATTGTAAAGTGAAAGTGACGAGCTTCCCAATTTATAAACTATTCGGTTCAATCCCTGTTTCGACATTTGACTGGCCAACCCATCCTCTAACTACCGTTCACACTATTAATTCGCCATGAGCGACCCGAACCCACTAGGCACCCCACTACCCACCGCACCTGAACCCACCTGTAGCGGTGTGGAGCACGTGTAGAGCGTGTTCTGGTGGACCACTTGCAAGTTGTGCATCAGCTTCGCCGGTCCGTAGGCCCAGCCGAGCTTCCAGCCGGTGACGCTGAACGTTTTACCGGCCGATCCCACAGTGATGGTCCTGTCCCACATCCCCGGCAGGCCGGCGATACGGATATGCTCGGCAGGCTTGAACACCATCCATTCGTACACCTCGTCGGAGAGACAGAGCGCGTTGTGACTCTGGCACAGCTCAGCGATCAGCTCCAGCTCCGGCCGGGTGAACACCTTGCCGAGCGGGTTGTTGGGGGTGTTGAGGATGATCATCTTGGTGCGCGGTCCGAAGGCGGCGCGGAGTTCGGCCGGGTCCAGTACCCAGTCAGCAGAGCTGAGGGCGCCGTCAGCGCGTGCCGCCGCGTCCTGGCGCGGTCGGAGCGGTACGAACACGGGCGTACCGCCGGCGATCTTCACCATGGGCTGGTAGCAGTCGAAGAACGGCTCGATGATGATCACCTGCCGCGGACCGGGTGGGCGGTTAGACGGTGGGACAGCCGGTTGGGTGGTCGGACTGCGGCTCATGCGATTCACAAAAAAAAACTGATCGCATTTCATTAAACGTTAAGGAGTGATGGCATAGCCTTGTTATAACCGTAATTCCAATCAATTGATCATTGATCAAGTTAAAGTAAACTGATGCAAAAATTACGAAATGAGCAGCCACTAACGCGGAGATTCAATGTGCATATCACCCCGCTGTGAACTACTATGGACGTCAAACCCCTTGAGACCCCACTTTTTTGCGATAATTTTTAAATGCGTCAACTTTCGTTGACAATATTCTGGCAATGTATGTTTCAGAACCTGCCGAAACTTTTATTACTAAGGTATTTTGACGCCAAACGATTATGGAAGGTACTTCTCATTCACTCGTAATGTTAAGGTCAATTCAGGCCCGGGCAGAGGCTTGCGCTCGGCCACACTCGAGCCCCGCCACCAGCGCCATCTGCTCTAAATGCCATCTACCAGCGCCCGCTACCGCTACCAGCTACCGCCCACCATCAAGCCTGAATGGAGCGAGAGACGCGAGTGACCGGTCGCCGGGCAAGGAGCGCCGGAGGGGTAGGGCGGAGCTTAGCGCTGACGTCATTACGTGGTTCCGCCCCATGAGCGCGTAGCCTCTACCCAAACAGCGGATTCGTTCCGTGAAATTTAACATTACGAGTGAATGAGAAGTACCTTTAATAATCGTTTGGCGTCAAAATACCTTAGTAATAAAAGTTTCGGCAGGTTCTGAAACACACATTGCCAGAATATTGTCAACGAGAGTTGACGCATTTAAAAATTATCGCAAAAAAGTGGGGCCTCAAGGGGTTTGACGTCCATAGTAGGTTCTCACCAGTCACCAGCCGAAAGACTATCCTATCTGACTCACCACGGACCCAACCGATCCCGCCCCGTCCTCACCTCATCTCCGGGTTTGACGTGTCCCAGAATGGCGTTATAGAGGCACCCGTAGGCGCCCTGAGAGACAAGAACCTCGGTGAACGGGTCGATGGTTCGGTCCAGCAGACCGCTGTACAGCTTGGCCAGCGCGTTCACCAGCCGCGGGTGGCCCTGCGGACGGGGAGGGGAGGGGAATGAGGTCGTGAGGAGGCGAGGGACGCTCATACTCAGCTGGAGTGCTCTCGATACCAGGCCGCACGCCGAGTCGCTGAGCTGAACTTAGGCGTGACAGGGAATGGTTCGAATAGTTATTACAACTGCCGTTAACCAAGCCGTTGACAAAACCAACTTATTGCTTGGTAGTTAGTGTTAGGGGCGCATTGTCGGCAAATTAATTACGTGCGAAACGGACAGCTTAACTGAGCTACTCCTTGTACAATGTAGTCATGTAAAAAATCCATTTAAGGCCTGGCTACACTATGCGTTTTCTGCGTGCGTTTTTGCAGGTTTGCGTGTTTTGCGTAATATCGTTCTAGGAAAAAAGTTATAAACAATATAATTTTTATTTTGGTTATATACAAAAGCTAATATAACTCTTATGTAACTAAAATTTAAGGTGAAAAACATCATAAAAACGTAATATCGTTCTTTTTTCTAGAACGATATCACGCAAAACACGCAAACGCGCAAAAAACGCACGAAGAAAACGCACAGTGTAGCCAGGCCTTTATTCAGCAGCACTCCGCACGGCTCCCTACCAACGGAACAATACTGAGACGTTTTCCTCAGTGCTCAAGCGCACCTACACGGGTTATTTTTTCACTCGCCATTTTCGTCTATCGTACTCACGTATCCGCGCGTGTACTGGTTGAGCAGCAGATTGGGATCGTGCATCACCTCAGCCAGGCCCTCTGTCACGTGCTTGGGGCAACCGTAGTCGGGAAAACCCTGACCCAGGTTCAGTGGCTTGTGCTCCAGAGCCAGCTGGATGAACTCCACCCTGACGACAGATGGATAGTAGGTAACGATAACCTGAACTGCGACGATGGTTACGATTCACTTTACTATGACGACACCCGGGTCGGATAAATCAATCTACTCTTCCCTGACGTATGTCGGATAGATGAAACATGACAGATTTCCTCGACGTTAAGTTAGACGAGAGGTAGACGAACGAGTATGTCGCAACGTTACTTAGTAAAAAGTAGGCAAACAGACAGCATCATGCTACATGGATAACATAGGTAACATTTAAAAGTGGATGTGTCCACATTGAGGGCGAGAAAAGAGTAACACATCAAATAGCTGAGTTAGTTATAGCACGTACCAGATGTTTTTTTCAGTGCCCTTGTAGCGCTCGGGCAGTGAGAACTTGTCGTCGGCCATGGCTGCGGAGGCGGTGGTGGCAACGGCGCGTCGGACGGAGTGTGACGGTCGGCGGGAGGCGGCTGTAACGAAACGTGTCAGCGAGGTCAGGTCGGTGGCGGCCCGCCGCGCCAGAGGAGCCAGCATCGCCTGCGGACAGACAGACAGACAGACAGCACGCTCAGACACAGAGAGTGAAACACAGGCAGGGACTCGTGCAGGGCAGCGACAAACCGCACACTGAACAGCCAAGGCAGCCGGAACAAGAGAAAGATAGCAGACATCAGTTGGGGGAGGTTTGGTCAATGGTTGTCATTTTTAGCACATGCCATTTTTGGCAACCATGTGCTAAAAATGACAACGCTATCAGCTATTTTTAGCAACGATGAAGCCGATTTCACTCCTCAGCGAGGAAATCACGATTTTGGAAATACAAGCACTGATTTTGGAAAAGAAGTGCTGCCACCTGGTGCAAGAAGAAGAAACCAGCTTTAATATGGCCATTGTTTGTATGGTAGTCCAACGTTGAAGTATACCCTTTTTTGTGGCCCGAAGTTGGAACTTTAAATTGAAGCATCCGAAAATGATCGATATTGATCGAAATCATGATGTTGATGAAAAAAATAATATGTTAAGTTGAGAGAGGAGGCCATTTTATCCAGATGCGGTGGTTTACTTCTTGAAATTATTTTTGCTTACGACGACTGCCATGTAATGAGGGATAATTAGCAGCCGTCATTAGCAAAAATAATTTCAAGAAGTAAACTACTGCATCTGGATAAAACGGCCTCCTCTCTCAACTTAAAATATTATTTTTTTTCATCAACATCATGTTTTCGATCAATATCGATCATTTTCGGATGCTTCAATTTTAAGTTCCAACTTCAGGCCACAAAACAAACTACCATACAAATAACAGGCATATTAAAGCTGGATTCTTCGTCTTGCACCAGGTGGCAGCACTTCTTTTCCAAAATCAGTGTTTATCTTTCCAAAATCTTCATTTCCTCGCTGAGGAGTGAACTCGGCCTCATCGTTGTCAAAAATAGCAGAATCGTTGTCATTTTTAGCACGTGTGACAAAAATAGCACGTGCTAAAAATGACAACGATTGACCAAACCTCCCCCGACTGACATGGTGCTCAGTGATGCTACAAGCAGTGTTCAGAAGAAAGAAGCAATAACTTAACTATGAAAAGCACACAAGACATGTCATGCCCATCACTAACTGAAGCATGAAAAAAATGAATAATTATGCAGTGATTTTCTGATATCACTCAGTAAGTGATGCAGCCACCATTTTGTATTTTTGTATTAAGCAAGATGCAAATAACTATGGCATTCATTCAGACATGTGCATGGATCTCAGATGACCGAACATAAAAAATATAACCATAAATGGTATTCAAGCATGGTATTGTGGAAATCATTGCTCCTAAACCCTCTAAATGACCTAACATTGTTGTCTTCCTTCAGAGTTGCCATTCTCAGAAAATCCATCAAGATCCAGCTCAGATCATGATCCCTGCGGCTGCCCCTGGATCATAGATCCGAGGCCAGTTTTACCAACAGAAAAATAGCCGCCTGCTGGAATTTTTTGCCTTAAGACTGCTACACATACGTAAATGTGATGGGTATGTAAGCGGATAGGGGTTTACAGTTTATACTCCATATGTGAAGCGATCTTTAGGCAAAAAATTCCGGCAGGCGGCTATTTTTCTGTTGGTAAAACTGGCCGGATTTTGATGGATTTTCTAAGACATGTCAACTCTAAAGGAATGCAAGGATAATTGATTATTTATAGGTTTCATAGGCGATGATTTTCACAATACATAAATCCACTCTTGAAGAATATTAATATCACTTTTGATCATCTGGGATCTGTGCACATCTGATCTTCTGCATTCATTTCATCTTGATTTATATCTTGAAGACATGCATACAAGTGTTGGCAATTTTCATAAAAGGAAATTGTCAACAAATCTGGAAGTAAATTAAAGCCAAAAGCAGTCTAGATTGTGCAGAACTTTACGTATATTCGATAATTTTTCAATTTGAATTTGTCTTATCCCTTGCCTGCTTCCAACTTCGCCGAAATATCCTGCCATGCTGATGCTAGGAATCAGTTCACGGAAAGCACACACAACTCATATTTAAAAAAATACAAACCTACCTGCAGATAATCTGTCGTCCAAACAGTATGGAAGGAATTAAATGATAAAAAAATTGATGATATTATAATATTAATATAAATGATATTAATAATAATAATAATAGGGAACCAAAAATGTATTATCTAGTGAATTAAAAGACAATTCACATAAGCTGCACGTAAAACACTCCAGCAACAGGAAAATTTGAGGAAAATGCAGTGTAAAAATGCAACTTTTATAGGAAAATTGTCTTAAACTTCTTTCATTAATTGTTGGAATTAGTGTGACCTTAGTTTTTGTAATCAATTTATTTTAAAAAAAATTAATACAAAAGAAAACTTATCTTTTAATCTGTTTTTAATATATATGTATGGTGTGTGAACCAGCCCTAGACGCGAAATGTATCGGTTGCGCTACTATCGCTTTCATTATTTGTGCTTCCATATTTCTCCAATTGCGGCAATATTTGGATGAAAATTAGCCAAAAACTTCACATGCTTCGTTTTCGTGGGAGGGGCGTAACGTGACCTCTGACCAGTCATTTGCCCGCGAGCTATAACGAGCGGGCTGAAACTGCCGCCGGATGGTCAGACGGCCGCCGGAGGTCCTGGTCGTGGTGAGGCGCCGCGCGACCGTCCACCAAAATTGAAGTAGCATCATGGCGAGAAGCATCAAGCGGTGGCTGGTAAGTGGATATCTCTGCCCCCGGGCTCCGGCCCATGAGATGTGGAGTGTTTTACTTACGCAATACGCCGAAGAAATCGAAACCCGTTGCCCTTGCCGTTGCCGATAGTATGCGCTATATCAATATAACTTTGCTTATAATGAGTGAATCGTTCTGGGCGGTTCTGGGTCTTGTCAGGAGATCGTACCGGGCCCGCACTACATAATCTGTCATGGAACCGTGATCGTAATACCGTTTGGTTTACAAACGACGTAAGCCCGCAATATCGTGTCGCCAGGGTGCGGTCGTGCTGTGTCTGCTGGCGGCCGCCGAGGCGGCCGTCTCCAGGGAGCGGCTGGCGGCGCGGAGCTGGAGCGCCCTGCTGGACGGGCCCGCGGCCGTGGACCTCACTGAGACCGGACAGGTGCTGCCCAGATTCCGACCTCCAGGTATTGGCTGACGGGCTGACGGGATTGGGATGGCAGCGGATGGGGTGGGGCTGACGGGCCGGAGCGGGGGTGACTGATGTCGGGCTGGAGTGGGGCTGGAGGATGGAGCGGGCTGGGGGCCGGGGCGGGGCGGAGCTGGAGGGCGCCGGGCTGTAGTGGGCCTGGGGGTCGGAGAGCTAGAGTGGGACTGAGCTCTGAAAGGCTCTGATCTCGCCCTTCGGGCTCGTGTTGACCGTTTTATCCTTCATCATCGTTTATCATTTGTGATCCTCCGTTCACGCTCCGTCCGACTCGTCCTTAGCTGCGGCCTACCAAGATAACTTTGCAGGCTTCCTCCTCAATCGATGTAGGTAACCCTTCACCGGCAGGATATAGTCTGCACCGTCTGTCACCGTCAACGCACTGACCTATTGCCTGACATTTGACCTGACCTCTGAGCTGACCTCTGAGCTGACCTCTGATGACCTCTGATGACCTCTGACCTGGCATCTCATCTGACCCGACTTATAACCCGGCATCTGACCTGCCGTGACCTGACATCTGATCTCCCCTCCCACCGACTACATTCAGAACCCGTCGTGACCTCACACACCGCCTCCCACAGGTTACGGCTAGGCCCGGCCTAGACCTCTGACCTGACCTCTGACCCTCCCCTCCCACAGGTTACGGCCAGGCCCGACCCTGGTGTCCCGTCGGCTGGCAGTGGAACGGACGCCGCTGCGTAGGTCAGTACTCCAATATCCGCCCAGCTGAGACGCAGTGATCATTCGCTCTTTGAGGTCAACTATTAAGACCTCAGTCTCGAGATCAAAACACTCGAGAAAATTGCGAGCTTAATTTATGTGAACAATCTGTTTCTGAACACGGTTAAGCTATCTGTAGCCGCTGCCCGCCCCTCCCTCGCCTCCCCCTCCCTGACCGCACCCCCTCTCCGCCCGCAGACGTGGACGAGTGCCGTCAAGCGAACGAGTGCCGCAGCCCGCGGGTGTACTGTCTGAACACACTGGGCAGCTACCGGTGTCTGTGCCGGCCCGGACTGGTCGGCGACTACTACACCGTCGGCTGCAAGACAGGTCAGTTGGCCGACCCCGGACGAGGAGAGTACCCCTCCCCTTCCGCCGCCGTAGAGGACAGGCTACATCGCGCCCTCACCCATGTCCGATACTTCCAGGGACGGGGTCGGTGCCAGGGGGCGATACGCCGCGTGAGCGGACAATTGAAGTGACGCCATCTTGGTTTTAATTTTCCCGTTTCATAACACTTAAAAAATAGTTTTTGATCGTTTCAATATCAATTACCCCGTAAGTTTGCTAGTGCTTCCATACGGCATACGCTGAAAAGTTTTACTTCAATTAAGAAAGACGGGTACTGCCCGTATGACCTCACCTGACTGGCCCTGCTGTCGTTCCCGCTGGCTGATCTGCTGCCTGTTGCCTGTTCCAGAGGAGGAGTACTGCCAGACCCGGTTCCGAGACGCCCCCACTCCCTAAACTACGAGCACCACCGGCACAAAGTGCTCCGTCTGACCTCTGGCCTCTGATTGGTACAGGGCGGACGGCAGGGACCAATCAGAGGACAGGACACAGTGCGGACCGGAGTCACGGTGACGTTACGAATTGTTACGGTAGAATGATTTGGTGCAAATATACGTAGATGGACCATTAGCGATTGTATCTATTAATGGCTACAGGATTGATGTGAAGATCACTTACGTTCATACTCTATCCCATTTTGCTTGATGCACTACGTAAAAACGGTATGTGAAAAATCACTTGATGACTTTTGAACGACTTATAAATAAACGACCACCATCCAAATAAACATCGGCATATGAGCACGTCCAGATGTTTCGGTCGAATGGATCACCGGATACGCACTGAAAAAGTAGCTGCGCGAGTTTATCACGAGGTTGGCAGACACTTCAAGTGCACGAGGCTCTCGCACTGAGATACCACGCCACGAGTTGTAACGAACATGCGTCTGCTGACTGAGCGTCTGTTTCGATGGCGTGACTCTCAGACAAGGTCCGTCAAGGACAGCACAGTGACGTGACGTGTTAGGACTCGGTCCCTATATGACTGAAGCGTGACATTTGTTCAAGTTTGCAGGTTGATGCTCATTGCTCAGGTTAACGCTGCAAATGCTTCACTTCTCTCGCTCCACCAAACACACGTTCTACTGTTCCGCATAGCACATGTATATTGCGACTACAGCGCATCGCACAATAATCTCACACCTCGCCACTCGCCGAGCTCCAGAACACCCGACTCGACGGCCAGCGCCCTCCGTAAGTAGACGCACTAAGTAGACCGTGGTACCGCCTCCGCGCCTGCGGCAGCTATCACATCTGAGAGGAATGTCTCATTGAACGCGGCGCCGACCGCGGGGCGCCGCACGGACAGACACGGGGGTAAAACGGACCTGGCAGCGAGCGCTGGGCCACGAGTTCGGCGTCGCCGGTAGACTGAAACCTCACTGGGTCGAGAGGTGGTCCATGTGGCCCCTCCAGTCGGTCTGACGGCCCAGGAAGCCAGACGGCGAGTCTCGCGGAACGAGACACTAGCGTAAGCTCCGAAATCCCACGATAGGTTGGCAGACGCGCCCAGTGTAACGTCAGACACGAGTCTCTAGATACACCCGCCAGCCATGCACACTGATCATAATCACCTGATTTCCGGCGCAAAATCAACAAACGATGATAAAGCTGTCGATAACAAGGAACATAAATAGGTATAAATAGTTGCCTACCCGGATCATTGGCCTGTTTGGTCTCAAACATCATCAAATTTCCCCCGCTCCCGCTAGCCCTCCTCGGCTACAAAACAAGGACACTGTCGGCACGGTGTAAAACGCCCGTCCGGCACCGCACACGCCACCTATGATATGACCGAGCACGGAATGTTGCGTCTCAAACGAAGTTAACCAGCAGCAGCTGCTGCTGCCATTGCCGCAGTCCCGTGACAAGCTGCCGAGTCTGTAAACAGTCGCTCTGGCCGACCGACCCACACTCACACACGAGTCACTCACAACTTCTTTAGCATGGGCAGTTTGAGAATGTCTGGTATCTCGATGTCCTCCAGTCGAATGTTGGAGGGGTTGAACGGGAACCGCACCGGGAACGCGAACTTGGAGTCCATCAGCAGTCGCGCCTGACGGGGAACAAAGTCGAGGTCAGAAAAAGGACGGTAGGTCGGGAGCAGGCAGGGAAGCAGAGCTTTCAAATTCAGCAACACAGAAAACGCAAATAGACAATAAGACACGTTAAGCTAGTCACACATAATAATCAACTTTGCATAAATCGACGGGTGGTCTACTTGAGTAAGGAAATGAAGTGAGCATGCCAAACAGAAACTCCCACCAGCATCCCAAACAAAGCAAAAATGTATCCCACTCCAGCGATCCTTCCCTCCTTGTCTTGGTATCACCTGGTTCTTCTCCCACCTGCTCCCTCCCGGACTGACCGGTCGCTTCCTACCCTCTCCTTAGTCAGCCTCAGTCGCTCCTCCCTCTCCCTTACACCCCTCCTCCTCCCGAACTAGCCGATCCGTCCGTCTCCGGGTCGCGGTGCTGCTGCAGGTGCTCCTGCACTGACAGATCCCTCCCTTCCATCCACCACCCCTCCCGGACTGACAGAACCTCCCTCCCCTACCCACACTAACCGATCCGTCCGTCTCCGGGTCGCGGTGTTGCTGCAGGTGCTCCTGCACCTTCCTGATGAAGCTGATCGGTACCCGCTCCTCGTACTCGTCAGGAGTGTACAGGTTCAGGATCTTGATGATCTGCGGGTGAATGAAAGAGGACAAGTCAGCCACCGGTCAACCGATGCTGCGTATTGTCTGCGAGTCTTGTACCAGTACACGTGTACGACACATGATCAATCTTTTAGGTTTTCCTATACGGAACAATAACATAATCGTTTCGTTTTCTCGTACCAGTACCAGATTATTGAAGAGCGATCACAAAAATCAACAAAAAACCTTTCCTGCACGTCACTACAGGCGGTGTGTCTCGCAAGGCGTGTATGTCTCACGTACTTTTTGAATTTTGTACCATTTAACATAATCACTGGTCATCATATGTGTTCTTCCATGACCTGTGGCTTTAATATCTATCCTTAGAATAGAGTTTGTCGTCCCTTCACTACTAACCTGCGGCGTGGTGAGTTTGTCGCACATGTCGCAGACCCTCGCCACGTCCTCCTCTGTTTTGCGCGCCTGCAGCAGCTGGGACGCCTGGATGATGGGCTGCAGCGTGTCCATGACGCCCGTCTCCGGGTCCTA